TTACCCGTTACCCTACCCGTTACCTTACCGTTCGTACTACGTTACTTACTTCTTCTTCTTCGTTCGTCGTACGTACGTACCTACCTCTACTCTCTCTCTCTCTCTCTCTCTCTCTCTCTCTCTCTCTCTCTCTCTCTCTCTCTCAATTCATTCAAGTAAGATCTTAGAATGAGAAAGGAGTAAAGTGCAGAGTAAAAAGTGGGAATTAGGTAAGAGAAAGTGAGCTCGTAGCTCCATTAAAGCTTCATCTCAAGCTTAGAGGTGAAATCCTAGCTCCATGATGATTCAATTTCGGGCAGTTCATTATCAAGCCATGCATCTGTGGAGCTTTTGGTGACTGCAACATTTAATTTACAGCAAGGTATCATAGACTCTTAACTTCTTATTTCATGAGAATTTGAGTTCAAAATTGATCCTAGAGTATGAGCCCTTGCTTCCTAGTAATTTGATCACACTTTGGAGAGAATTTGATTGAGTATTCTTGAGAATTTATTGACTGATTGCTTTGCAATTTTTTGATGCAAATCAGTCAATTAATTCACCTCCTTAATGACTCAATTTGGTAAAATTTTAAGGGGAAACTATTGTTGGGCTTATGTGGCCATTTAAAGGCCTTATGAAAACTTGTAAAATTATGATTATAGTGATGTGATAGCTCCAGTGGAGTAGTCAGGATGGACTGTGTGGAATGGTCCAAGGTGGACTATAAGGAATCGCTGATGTTGTGACTCACTTGAGTTTTGACAGGTTATGGCTCATGTTGATATCTAAAAACCTGTATCCCTGGGCACTTATGCACAACCAATAAGAGTTTCGATGTGAGGACATCTTTTGATGAGGTCGGAGTTGTGCCCAGGGTGGTTGGCCTAAGGACTGGGTGTGACTCCTGTGTGAGGTGGTTGGTCGGAGAGAACAAAGGCCAAATCCTCATCGATACCATCGCACGACATGTGCACTAGATAGTCATCCTGGAAGCAGTCCTCTAGGTGAGGGTATGTTGTGTACATATGCCGAAGCAATGTCTCGCCACAACACTGGATTGCGTTGAAAGGACCCATGAGGTATTGTGCTAGAATGGGACCATGACTTGTCCTTAGGGAGGGATCTGTAATCCATGGACTAGGATCGTGTCTCATTCATTTATTGGTTGACTTTAACAGTCCAAGCATTAACCCCTGCGATGGGCTGTGGGTCATGAGAATTGTTGGGTCAATTTGAAAAGATGACAGTGAGATACCGTTTCTAGAAGGGATGGAGTCCTCAATATATTTATGATATTCCTAACTCTTTGGATCCAATTCTCATCAAAATTATTTTCAATAAATTATATTTTATATTATTAAAATTAATTTTTAGATCTCTCTGGATATTATATTTCAATGAAAAAGGATTCTTAAATAAGCTAAAATCATTGTTTTGGATTATTTATTTCAGAGAGAAAAAAATATTTATTGATTTCTAAAAATCAATTTTATTAATCTAAAATTTATTTGAGGGTGTGGGGGCCCATTAGAGCCTTGGGCCCACCACATAGGAGCCCACTTAGTAGGGGCGCAAGGCCCACATAGGACACACAAGGTGGGACGCCCCACCTATTCCTTTCCTTAATGAGTGGCTTGTGAAGCAAGCCTTCCAAATGGTTTTGAAATATTAGGAAAGTGTTTCAAATCAAGGATGATTGTTTTAAAAGTGGAAAGTGTAGAGATTGATGAAAATTAAATAAATGTTTAGTATTTTCCCTATCCAAATATTTGATGGGAATAAATTTTTGGAATCTGAGGGATAATGGTTCTAGCTCATTCCTTTAATCATGATGGTTGATCTAAGATATGAAGTGCTAAAATCTCTCCACCCCACAAGTTTCCAAGATCTACAGTCAAGCTTAAGTCTCATACTGATGAAAAAACCCTAAAGCCCAAAAACCCTAGCATCTACTCTATAAATACACTCTATGGGGTTCCATTTTCTACACATTTGAACAAAGGTTGGTCGCACTCTCTCTCTCTTCCCCTAGCAGGTATGCCTCACTCTCTCTCTTATTTCTCTCTTATCGTTAGGGTTTTGATTAGTATAGACTGTAAGAAACCCTAAAGGGCCGGCCCTAGCCACTAAGGGTGGCACGCCCTAGCCATTGAGGTGTTGTTTAAGCTTGTTCTTTGGGATTGTGTTTCTCCCATCCCATGTCATGTTCTAAAGAGGTTTTGCCTAGGCTTCCCGAATTATGAGACTGGTGTGGGATGTACGAAATCCTTGGGGGTAACCAGAGGCAAGGTATTCGGAGATTTCAATGGCTCCATTTTTCTTGATTCTTCATGCATTATAGTTTTGTTTGATTGTAAAGAATTACAATGGTATGCAAGAGAAGATCCTAGATTGTATTAAGATTTATTTTATGAATAAAGTTATAATTTTGTACACTTGTAAGTATTCTAGCTGGTATGAATAAAAGAAATAAAATTTTTAACTGCATATACTTGGCTAGATCACATGTCCTACTTTCAACAATGCCAAAAATTTCCCTACAGCTATTACATAATTCTTCACCAAATTGGGAGTAATTCCATGGTATGCAACTAAGTCCTTGGCCGTAAAAGTTTTTTAGCCTCTCTTATGTTGGGAAGTACCACAAAGTAGTTTATATAATGTTTCCCATGACTTTCATGAAAAGTTTTTGGGCCTCTCTTATGTTGAAAAGTGCCACAAGTGTAGTTTATATGATGCTTCATTGCTTCCCATAAGATGATGTGAAGTTGGCTGAGATCTTGGTGCCATCTAAGTAGTCATTCCATGGTATGCAACTAAGTCCTTGGCCGTAAACCGGGGGCACAAAGAGCTCTACCTTTGACTTCCCATGATCAAGATCATTTAAGACATTAGAGAATCATTGTGTTTGTATGTGAAGATTGGGTTTTGTGGAGTTCATGTAATTAGGAATTGATGTATAATATAATCCTGAATTTTATAGCACTTGAGTTTTAAGTATGCTCAATCTCCTTGCATAGTTTTGGTCGGACTTTGGTAAGCGACCTAAGTAGGAGTTGTAATCCTTGGATTTTAAAGTGTATGGATGTCCATAATGTGACTGTAACTGGAGGCCAATGTGGGTGTATGTCATGTGATTGAGTTGTATTTTGGTGATGTAGTC